TTGGATTTAGCTTGGTCTAAGATGCTGACAGTTTCCCAGTTGAAACTATGGTTAAGTCTGCTCACGTGATTTCCACTGCACCATTTTTAAGCCAGCTTTTGCAGCCCTGCAGCATTCAAGCCTCAGTCTTGCCCTCACCAAGTAGCAGAGGAAAGAACACACTCTGACAGCTTTCAGCAGAACAATTAGTGCTTATTAAATTATCCCATAGGAGAAAATGTGATCTGACTGGCAGGTGACTGGAAGAGAGTCTCAGAGGTTTCCCACAGCCTTTTAAATGGATGGCTGGAATCAGGTAATCCACTCTAATTGGATCAAGCCTCTTGCTCCTTTTTCAAATGTGTTGCTTAACAGAGGAAAAAAAGAAGCGTAAGCCACTTCGGGTGGTCTAACCATAATATAGTAGATCGAAAATCCATTGTCACCAAGCAGTTAAATTTACAAGAGGTAAAAAAAAAACTGCAGGAGAGTAGACATTAAAAGCTTTTCTGCAAAGACTGATCAAATCCTAAGAATGACAATCAAATACTGTATATCTCTTTTTGTATAATATTATACAAATATTGATCTCAACTGCTGAGAACAGGAAAGGCTAGACATGACCATGGTAAATGTGTAGGTTTAACTGTCATGGTTGGACAGGAATTTACAAAGAATAACTATAAGAAGTATGTATATGAGGATAACTAAAATGCTGCTTCCATTCCATAACTTCTCTGTGTATGTCCTCCTTTCCTTTCCCTCAAATGTATTTTTCCCCCAGTCAAAGCCAAATGAAGGAGAAAATTACTCAAGATAAAAGAAGCCATACAAAGAAGCCCCAGAGAAGTTCAAGGCTTAAAAAAAAAAAATCTCACAGACATACAAATGCACATTCCTACTTGCTTTATATGTGATTGGGGGTGTTTCAATCTTAAATGCATTAAACTGCCATCATCACATTTTAGTAAAAGACCAAACCACTTTACATCAAGATTCATGTTGGAAAATTAAAATATTTATATGAGAGTAATATTCCACTTATGCAGTAAGGTCATCTCCTGCATTTTAATAAGATGGATTGAATCCAGGCTTCCCTTAATTCATGGAAAAGAGCAAGATCCAGTAAAGCCTTCTGCTAGATAAAAAAAACAAATTGAGTCAATTTGCTCCGTGCCCACGTTCCGTGCCATTTCACAAAACTATTCTGGAGGGTGGGCTGCCCCTCCCCTTTTACAAAGTAGTTTTTCAAGGTACTCAAGGCTTGAATGAGAAAGAGGAATGGACAAATTGCCTCTTCTTTCTTCCTTCAGCATAAACTCCAAATCCAACACAACATCCTGAGAGAGAGAAGGGCAAGGCTGGAAAATAAGGGATAAGAGGTCACCTTGTATATGTTGAAATCAAGGACATTTGAGGTTTTCCTCCAAGAGCATCAGGGCTAGATCAGGAAAGCTGATGGCCAATAGGACAGGTGATACACCAACAGAGCGTTTTAAAAGCTGTGAAGTTTGGTGATAGAGACTTGGTAAACCACTGTCACTCCATCTCCCCATTAAGATCTTGCTGCTGCTGCTACACAGACAATTCAGGTTGGAAAAGTTGGGAGCCAAGTCACCATGGTACAAAGCAGATCGATCGATCTACCTACCTACCTACCTGCTTATTTATTTATTTACTTATTTAAATTTATTGGCCACCCAACTCCAGTGGACTCTTCTCTGTTGAAGACCTGATCCCAGGCAGCTGTTTATACATGTATTGGCTTAGCATTCGGTAGTAGCATAACCTCAGCCCTGTAGGAGAGTAAGTGTAGAGAGCCATGGAGATTGCCTTGAAGGAATATTCAGAAGCTATTACAGAAACAAAGGCAGAAGCATTCCTTGAGTTCTGGGGAAGGAGATAGCATTAGGAAGGGACTCAGGTTGGCTCCTCCCTCACCCAATGGGAGTCTAGGAGGGAGGGAAGGTAAAACACAAGCAGGGTTGAAGATTCTCTTCCTATAGCCTAACTCAATAACATATAGTTATAGCCTTCCTGTGGAGTTGGTTTCTTGATCTATCTACCCCGTAGGGCTGACAGTAAGCTATTTTTAAATGGGAGACAGCACTAATCATAGGGAATTATTAGAAAAGTCAAGCAGTTCTTCATGGGGAGGAAGGAAAAATCCAGGTAGAAAAATCCATTAGACCTATGTCAGAAAGATGAAAGGTAATGAAGCATAAAGCTTTTTTCCTTTCATAAATCAAAGCCCCCTACCCCTTTCAGCAGAAAGGTTAGGAGAACGCAAAAGCTTTGGTTCCTATGGCTTTAATTCCTCTTATCCTGCTCCCAAATAGTTTTTGTCCTTTTGGTATTAGAGGACAACCAACTCCAGGTCTGTCTAGACTCAGAGAACATCTGTTATGCTCTGTCTCCTGTGTTTGATCACTGGAGAGAGGAATCTAAACAATCCTATGATTTCTGAGGTATCAGGAAATTGTAATATCACACCCTCAGGTCTGACATGTTGTTTAAATGTCTTGTAATCCTATGACAATCATGTTTTTTAAATACTTTATCTGTAGAACAATTAAGAATCACAAGAAGCGTCACACACTTTATGCAGAAAATACTTTTACATATACATAAACACAGCTTTGATCATCATCACTGAAGGAAGATAGCCATGAACCAAAACTGAAACATATTTGACATTATTACTAAAAACTAAAACCTTAACAGCATCTAACTGCAGGGGCAAACTACCTCTTTCAGCCAGTGGGAACATTTGGAAGTTTTAAAGATGGGAGGCACTTTCACAAAATGGCTACCAAAGCCAGTCATAACATTCCTATCTTCCAGAAGCCAAACAGGTGAGTAAAGAGCATCCTCAGAAGTACTCTTGTGTTCCATCTTTTTTTCTGGGCAGGTGAGGATACTTATAAACAAAGCACGTGGATTACAGCTATGCTACAGAGCCAAGGTGGGGCCTAGAAACATTTTTGTAAATAATGAAGCTAGAGTCTGGCCCTTCACAGCACCTAGCTTCTCATTTATTCATTAAACCAAACCATGTAAAAAAAAAAGTCAGGTGGTACAAGGCTAGCAAGGACTAACAGAGGGGTCTTCCCAGGATTCTACATCATCTGTCTTTGTAGCATACTATAGATTATATAGTAAGTAGCCAATGTATGAATGCAGAAATGTATTTTTGCCAATTCAAGCATTCCCCAAAGAGGGACAATTCCAGATGACTTGTACAGCTCCTCCTGCCATCACCTCAAATGTATATACATCCTGTCCCACAGGGATTATAGAGAGGGGAGAGGAATACAAGAAGGAAAAATGTGATTTTGCCTAAGTAGATAGGATTCAATGCATGTTTGTTATTGATGACAACTCTTTCTGGTCATTTCATAAGGAAGTTAGTAAAATAAAATGGTCAGTGTTAATTGTGAATGTTATTTTATGACAATGAAAAAAGTGATAAGCAGTTGATTGGTACATGTAACCGTAGTAGTATGGAGAAATGAAATCTGGAAAACCAGCCATTCTAAAACAGCAAGAGCTCATAGCTTTCATTTGGAATGTCTAAACAGCCGAGTTGAAACATATCAATTATTCAAACCAATGCCTAATAAGTATGAGCCTGCTCTCTAATAATGTTGTAATGGCCTGTAGCATACACTTGGTTTTATCTTTTCAGATATTAGCCAAGAGAAAATCCTGTAACAATGCAGTATACAGATTGGTATGAAAGATTTCATTGCCACATTCTGCTTGTAGGTCTCTCCAATGATTTTTCTCTCATAACTAGGGGATAGAATGCTAATAAAGATGGTACTTGTTTCATGATGGAAGAATCCCTGATGTAGAGGCTAGTGAATTCCATGGGCTGAATCAGGAAATCCAACTGTTTTTATTTCTATTCATGAATCTCTAGCCAGATTTGAGCAATAACATCAAGTAAAGAGCCAATATCATTCAATCAGAGACCAGACCAAGTCCACCATTCATCCTTCCATAGGTGTGCATATTGATAAGTGCTTTCATATTGGTTGTTATGGACAGTTTATTCTAAGAGAGAAACAAAATTGTCCTTCACTTTATTCCCTTCTGGAGGAACACTGTCCTGTGCTAGAAGGGCAGAGCACAAGAGCGTCTCTCCCACCCCCGCCTTATGTAGTACTTGTAAGAGAAACCAGAAACTGTCCCAAGGGTTAATGCCAAAGATGCTCAAAGCCATTACTGCTGATGGGAGCCTCCTGCACTGCCAGGCCTCCACACTATTGACTGTTGCTTGCATTAGCCAAGTCCCAGCAGCACACAATGGCCCTTTAAATACAATTAGAGTTATTGCTAATGGAAGGCAGTAGAGTTAAGGCCCTTGGCCCGAGGCAGAGGAAGATACAGCTGCTGCCAACTGCCTCCAGGGAAATCACTGGCTCAGATCAAGAGAGGTGGGGGGTAGGGAAGGTCTTTCCCTGCACTTGCTGCTGCAGAAATCTTGGCTACTTTTTCTTTCTCCTCCTTGCAATTCTCCAGGTTGAAAGATCCTTGCTCATCTGTCCAACTGTTGCTTTGGATTACATTAGAACAAATCCCATCCATATTCACTTTATTTTTATTAATTCAGTTAGCCATGATAAAACAGAAATGCAAAGAGAACCTTTAAAAAACAGAAAGGGGAAAAAAATGAGATACCAACTGAACCTGACTACGGAGACTGCATAGTGTCCCAGCTTCCAGCTGTATGCCATTCAGCTTGCCATCTGAAAGGATACAGTGCACCTACAACAACATGGAGGCAGAAAAAAAGGGATGGCTGGCTTTCTCAACTGTCTTTTAGGCGGCATCCTTTCGCTCCAAAGGCAGCAACTGGCTGTGACTAATTACTGCGGTATCGCAAGGGGGACAAGCTGGGGAGGCCAGTGAAACAAGATAGGTATCCCTATGCCGTGCCAGGTCTCCAGCCTATTTGCCTGGATAGAAATGTCCAGTCAGTCTCCCCTCAGCAGTACAGCTACCATGCCGCCTGCATGAGGGATAGGGGAACCAGTGTGATGGCTTAGGTGTTCCTGGCTAATCAGAGCCAGATGCAGACTCTGCTGAACTAGGTGGTGTGCTCGCAATCTCCTCCTCATCCGAGTCCTGGAAGAGAAAGCGACACAAGCAAGGTTAAGAATATGGAAGACATGCAGCAGTAGGTACATGCTTTACAGGTTCTAAATTAAAAGAATCATCTCTGAAAAGGAAATCTAGCATTTCCTGACTCTATGTTTATTTTATGCCCTTGCATTGAGGTTGCAGATGGAGACAACTGGGAAGGTGAGGTTTGGACAGTCACCTCATCCAGTTTGGTGGTGTGCAGGTAGGTGAAGGAGTAACGATGTATTCCACACATACCATCAGCCCCAGGGAGTCCAAGAAGAGGGCCATACCACAGACCAAACTGTAAGAGAAGATGTATTGTCGAAGGCTTTCACGGCCGGCACACGGCTGGTCCAGCCACTATACCAGGCTATACAGGGAAGCCATTGAGATTCACAAACACCAGCACAGTTTCAATTAAAAAGAGGAGAG